TAGAAACTTAACATTGTTCCTCTGCAGCAGCGTAACCATCTTTTGGAGGCCGCCAGCCAGGCGCACGGCCATTTTGGAGCCATCCTGGTGGAGTAGCAGGTTGTGCAGCGTGGTAATCGCATAGAAGAGCACACTTTCAACTGGCGAGGAGAGCAGCTTGACGAGAGCCGGTATTCCGCCGCTCTTGAATATGGCCAGCAGACCCTGGCGATGGTGCGATAAGTTGTGCAGAGTGCCTACCGCTGCCTTGGTGCTCTCCAGATCATTGCTGTTCGAGATGGCGCGCACCAAAGCGGCCACCATCTGTGGGCTGTTCATAATGGCGTGTCGCGAGGCCTCCTTCTTCGACAGCTGGTGGACCATCATGGCGGCCTGCGAAACGACCACCTGATCTTCGTCGTTCAGCAGCTTGATTAACTCCGGTATGGCCCTGGTAGCCAGCTCGGCGTCGTCCTGGTAGTTGATAAGATTCACCACCGCGTGCTTCAACATCTGTGACGGTTCCGATAGGCGCTGCACCGCCGTCGGTTGTTGCGGATCAAACTGGGTGGAGGGAATTTCGATGCCCTCCTCCAGGGTCTCCGGGAACATAGCAGCACGGACGCGTTGGGAGCGCGTCTGGCTCAGCTGCTGGTTCATGTCGTCCACTTGGTCCTGTGTAAAGTTCTGCGGGAAACCAGTGTCCAGGTCGAACATCAGCGGATCGCCCTCCATCTCCTCGTCTTCCTTACCGGACAGCGAGGGCACCTGGGTCACGGCACCCGAGTGAATGCCGGAGTCGCCCAGATACGAGTTCTGCTGCCACATGAGGGTCTGCTCTTTGGCGGACACCATCGGCGGCAGATCCGGAGGATTGTATTGATTATTATGCGACACTGCAAGCAGAGGGACAAATAATGTTAGTCTTTTTTGTACTTGCATCAGTGCGTTACAGACGCTCAGTTTGGAATTGAAATTTTTAAGCTAATTTTAACATCGTTATTTATTGAAAATGGCATAATAATATATAAATGTATATATATACATATTTGAAAACGCATAACGCATTTCTTCGAGTTATGTATGTATAGGTATAGTCTTATGTATATATATATTCCTTGTTGTCAACCTTTTGCAGAGCAAGAATGGCGTAGGACAACGGAAACATGGCCCTCAGACTGAATGCAACTTAGTATCTACACTTTATCTCTGGCATTGGGTTTAGTTTTTGATTTGAGCTCGGGTTCTCTCTTTAAACCCTCTACAGCTTGTTCCTTGGGAAATGGAAAAATGGGAAACGACAGCGACTGACAGCAAAGTGAGCAGCCCCCACCCCATATATCGCAAAAAATTGCAAAAGGAAAACTGTGAAGCGTGACAAATTGAACGCTGCAGGATATTTCCACAAAGTTTAGAGCGGATGGGTGGAGCGAAAACAGGGAGGGGGTCATGATGCTCACACATGAGAGGGTCTTGGCAAAGGATTCGTGGGGCTTTTTGTTTGCCACTTCTGTCTTAATTATGCCTTTTCGGGCCCCGCTTTTTGCCTTTGTTGTTTTACTTATGCGCGGACACAGTGCGGCCACGCCCCTTTTGTATGCATTTGCAAACTCCCCCTTTTTTGATCATACGGCTCGTTAATATTTACAACAGGCAAACCTGTATAAATCAAACATAAAAACAGCTGAATTTGAAAAAACTCAAATTCAGGCCAAGAGTATTGATAAAAATGGATTATAATATTTAGTTGACCGAACCCTTATAGAGTTGTTTAATGTAATGTAATCTGTTAAGATTGGTTTCATAAAATTAATTTAGCTTTAGATAACCCATAGAAAGATATTTATTCCTTAATTGCTCAATTTTGTTCGCTACAAGCACGTAGGACTGTGCTTCTGTTTCGAATCATTTCCCGAATCGATTAAGTGCGTTTTCCTCCGCTTTATCCCTCGAAGGGAGAAATGCTGGAACGAAGGGAATGTATGTAATAAGGGGTAGAGAACGGCCGGAGCCTTTAAGTGGAAGTTGCCGCTTACTAATTAAATTCTGCACAGCAGCAGCAAAAAAAAAACCAAAAAGCAGAAGAAAATGTGCAGCCAAGTCGAAAATAAAATTGGAAGTCTGAGAGGAAGGACCTAAAAGGTCCTGGGAGGTTGTTAGAGGACGGATGGGTGGGTGGCTGTGCCACGTGCAAGCTGCGTGAGTAGAGGCAAGAGAAATCAAGTTTCAAAGGGTACCAAACAGAGGCGTAAAAAGGGGGTTTACTGGGTTTGGCACCATAAATTTGCAAAATACATAAGTATAACTAACAAATCGACTTTAATTATACAGCGAATCGAAAACTGGTAAGAACTTTTTAAGCTTTATTAAAGTTATCTATCAATAAGCAAGACTGCAATTCTAGTTCTTAAATAAATATTTAAAATACGTCTAGTTAATTCACCCTCCTGATAATGTCCTGGCTAGGCCTCTGCTATTCCATGGTTAACAGACTTTGCACACTGCAAATGAAGTGGCAAAAAGAACCGCGAGAGGGAGGAAAACATCTTCCTTCCTTGTCCTTTTAGCAGCGTCGTCATACGAATTTTAAATTGCAAAATCAAAGGAACACAAACAGCTTTTTTTGGTGGTAAGGACAGGGACACAGTATACGCCTGGTGGTTGGTAATCGCACAAAAAAAAAAAAGATCATCCAAATGGTGCATGTTTAAGCATTAACAAGTATGTAAATGTGGGCAACTCATAGAACAGGCATAAATTATTTATTGGGGGTGAATGGATAGCATAGTTACCCTATATATTTCACAATTCTAACAAAGGAAGCATCAAAAACAAATAACAAAAGCAAATACTTTATGTCACATTGGGCAAATTTGTCAACAACAAGTATCTCTCTCTCTTTACAATAATTACTGCAACAGAGTTGTTATTGTATTGCGATACAGGAGCTTATAAAAAAAATAAAATAGAAAATTATAGATTTTAAAAAGGTTTATTACTTGCACCACAAGTAATAACTCTAATAAAGCTGATGTGGTTTTATTCATAATGGCAGTGAATTTCTAGGGTTTTCTCCTTAACTCCTATTTCTAAGTAAAATTGGATAAGATAACCTGAAGCCCCTTAAACTCAAACAAAATTACTTTTTTTTTTTTTACATTTTGGGTATTTTGGAGTTTTTCCAAATGGATTTTTGGAAAAAGGAAAATGGAAGAGCACCGCTAGAAATACTTACTGGTACGGTTCTGGGCTGGCATGTAACTCATCTTGGTGATTAAGGCGCTTTACACCACACCTGCAAGAAAGAGACAGATCATAAATGAGTAATTTGCTTAACAGTTAACACAAACTACAGTTTGAGTGTGTATGTATAAAAACTAGAAACAACAGTTAAACCCAAATTGCGAGCTATATTTTTTTGCAGGCATATTACTGACTTAATATGTGATTTCTTTTTTGTTTAATTAATTTCCGCTTTAAGATGTCGCAGCTTAATACAAATTATGCTGCGTATGCCAAAGAAGCACAAACACACACACGCAGGCAGACCACAGGTAGACGTGTTTGTGTGGGCCTCTCTACCTGGTAAAGACTTTGGCCACAAACCTTGAGTTATTTATTTGATTACTATCTTTGTCACTTCTTCAAGCTTCAGGCACTCAAAAAAAAACACTAGAAAATATTTTTTTTTTTACTGCAGCTTCTGGAAAATGCGACCGACCAGCACGCTCGTTAAAATGGAACAGAATCGTATAGCGTACAGTGAAGCACGAAACACTTGCAACACTGCGCGAGTGAGATGGACTAAGCATTAAAGGAGAGCAAGTGGAAATGAGAGAGAAGAGAAGTAAAGGGTCGCACTGCAGCACACGAATGCAGTGCTGCGCAGAGTTGCCACAGATCCGCCAGATTGTGCATACATACATGAAGAAAGGATTCTAATTTCCGATTATGGAGTTTCAGATTAGATAAAATACCAAGCCGCCGATAATGAGCCCTTAATTCGGGAAAACACAGTTTCCTGTCTGCGGCATTGTTTACATTCCACGAGTAGGAAAGCAGTCCCACGGGGGAGAATACATAAAACTGCCGTTTGTGTGTATCCAGCTCCAACGCTTACACATACAAGCTCACATCTCACCACACCCCCTTCAAGCCCCGCGCGAACTTGTTTGCCCTTGCTTTCCAGCTTTTTATTCCAAACACAAAACTCACTTTCTTAAATAGACAACACTCTACTCCATTTTCTTACCGCTTCCAAAGGATTAAAGTCTGCCTTGGAGCAGAATTTATTAATTTAAAACGCACTGGGGCAAACTAGCAACGAATTGTCTCTGCTGAAAAAAACTGTGTATATGGCGACAGAGACCTAACTAGAGATGGCCTGTTGCTGCTCCGATAACACGATAGTCGCTGGCCGATAGCCCCGTGGAAATTTTTAAAAATTTATGCTTGTAAGAACATAGAGAAATCTTCACAAATTTTAACTATGCCCTTTTTAGCAACAAAATTTTCCAGTACGCCTTAGGAGATTTTGCGGGAGATTTCGCCATAGCTGACTTATAAATAACAGAACGCAATACTAATTTGTAGACCAAGCTTTGTAATCTGTTTCCTACCGTTTATCTTGTATAAACATTACCTACACAATCGCCTACATGTGTGCGTGTGGGTGTATTACAATTTAAGTTTATGTAAAAACTGCTTAAGTTGTGCTGAAAACTGTGAAAACCTATATTGCTTCATAATACTTACCAAGTCGGAAGTTAATTTGTCTGCTCAAAGGCAGGTTTCTGTTCTTATAACGCACTTAAATCTTAAAATTCGACAAAAATCCACGACTGAGAAAACTGTATTGGGCGAAGAGCCGATAACCGATAGCTGATAACTTACCACAGGTTCCTGCCAACCTGTTTTTTACAAAGAACAATCCTGAGCGCCGTTTTTAAAATGTGTTATTCGGAAACCTGTAAAAATATTTGATTGGTTTTACAGTTGAACATAAGGAAAAATTCAAGCACTGGATTTTATTCATTTAATAACTATGTTTGATGGGCAAGTAATATTGGCTTATGAAGCCGAATTGGGTTCCTCAGATATGGTCATTGAACTTGACGGTGACTCGCATGCCTTCCGCTGATCCCTTACAAACTTAATTAGGGCACTCTTTTGCCGCTCCATGCCGTCGTAAAGTCCGTAGACCTGGGCAAAGCCAAAATAAGCGGCTACAACTGCGACACCGAAAATAGGAACCATGATGACAAATCCCCCTAGACAGGCAAAGAATACCATGGACACGATTGTCAGGAGAGTGCCTGAAAAAAAGGGTAAATTAAAGTGGGTTTATAAACAAACACTGATTAGTTCACCTTCTAGAACTAAAAGGCCAGTGAAGGTCATCAGCATGGTGGCTATTCCGAACCCAAAGATTATGAGGAAAGGCAGGAGAAAGACCAGACCGCCGGCCAGCAAACAAATGGCAATATGAGGATTTCGTGCGCACCAGGACGCCAAGATCTCTAAAAACTCATTGCCACCCAGCTCTGACATAACAAACTTGGCCAGGCGACGGATTTGAAGCCCTGCAAGATCAGCAAAGATTTAATGATTACTTAATACTCCTTTGATAAAATAAAGTTAAAAACTAGGAAAGTCCGACTTAAGTTAGCATACAAATCCCTATAACATTCTTTTGGGAAGATAATTTCAACAAATAAAAGAAATATTAAACCAAAAAGTTCAAAAACCGTTTAGAGCAGCATCCAATAAAATTCAAAAATAGGGTAATTAGCACTTAGTAAATTTGATCGCTGGACGTACATGTCTTGTTAGTAAACTGAAGCAACCCGTCCAGAAACTGGTCATCTTTGGGTAATTCTTTCTGATCGCCTGGGTTTTGGGCTTTTTTCGGCTCTGAATTGCTTTTTGTTTTTGCTTCTGCAGTCTTTTTTGCGGCTTTGCGTGCCTTGTTTAAGTGAGCCTGCAAGATTAGATCAGCAATTACATTACTGAAAGGCAAATTAAAAATCAAAAGTGATTAAGCGTTGGTCGCTTCTGGGGCCAGAAATTGCGACCTTTGACTCTGCTGCCCGCGAATTAGGCCGTATATGTAGATCTTCCCAAAGGCAAAGCAATACGTTTACACCCACCATGTTGGCGGCTACTGTGAGAATCTTAGGAGATTTGTGTGCTCATAACAGGAGAAAAAGCCAGTTCCACATTTAGTAAAACGCGAATTAAAAGCAACCGTAGAGAAAAACAAAAATAAACAAACAAAAAATATCGGCATTACATCCCTGATTAAAAACAATCGATAAAGCGTTGCCACCTCGCCAAGGCAGTTTGAATTAACCCACGAATCACCAAATGAGATAAACAGCAAACATAATTAAAGATAGTTATATAGCTCTAACATTTTATGCATTTTATAATCAACAAAAAATGTTAAAATGGGCGCTTAGACACGTATCTCTTTAGAGAAGACTAAGGATTAGTGGAGCAGGAAGCGAAGTCCGTTGAAAGGTGGTCGTTCCGTAATTCTCTCCGCAATCAAACGCTCCCCGTGTACCGTCATCCCGCAGCGAAGTTTTGGAGCGTGCAAAAAATTAAGATCGGCAGCACGTTTTCCGCTTTGAAGTGGTAGCCAGCCGTAAACCTGGGACTCTAGGAGCGGGACAGCTTTAACCAGCTGCCTCTGGTGCTCCAACTGCTTCTCCGGCCAGGTGTGCCGCAGATAACGCAGCGGATCCGGCGGATGACGTTGGTCAAACTGGGCGTAGAACTTCCGGGTCAGGGGATAAACTATAAATCAGAAGAAGATCTAAAGCTTCCATCCAAGTAGGTGAAGAAAATCTAAGCCAAATGTTTATTAACTACTTTTATGAATGTTGAACCCCCATACCTTGGCTCACTGGAACAAAGGATTCAAAGAGTCGGATGTGTCGGTTGGACTTTTCGATCAGCTCCTTTTCAAAATCGTAGGGCAGTGGTCGGGGGTCCCCCTCGTGGTGATCTTGTCCCTCGTTATCCTCCTCGCCTTCGTCGGTGGTTTCGAGTCCTGGTTTCATACTGCTCCGCGCGACCCAACTCGCGCTTTCACTTGCCCTCCTTTTCCAGCTCCTCGAAGAAGCTTGCTAGCGATACGGGGACTCAAGAAATCCGTCCGCAGTTCGTGGCGTGCTCGGTTCATTTGACGTGGCTGCGGAATTTTCTGCAGCAAGGACACCTGTCCGTCCGTCCGTCCGACAATCCGCTTGTCTGCTTGTCTGCCTGGCTGTCTTTCTGTTTTGGCAGCAACTTGTTCTCATTAAAGTTTTCCCATTGTTGCTGGATGGCAGGCAATGTTACCAATACTGCACACGCATCCCCACGACGCACCCCAGTGGGGCTTAAGAGGGCAGTCGGGCAGGATGGGTGTCGGTGGTGGTGTGACCCACAATCACAGTTTCGCCAACGTGAAAGGCGCCTGTCGGGCGAACTTACTCGGCAGTTGTTGCGGGGTGTCCACGATGGGTGCGATTGGGTCAGGAGAAGGCAAAAGGCATTCAGACATTGATGTGACGTGGTAGATGTTCTCAGGGCAGTAGCTGTACCTATAGGAGGGTAATATAAAGGATATAGGATATAATATTTTTAAAGAACAGACCCTCATCTGAACCAAATTCTTAATCAGTCCGTTAAATACAAAATACTACACTTTTTATTCTATGCCAACCATCTAGAAATCCAGAAAGTAAAATTTTAAAAGGTTTACCCTTAGCATCACTGCTTCCATCCGCTCATTGGCTTGATTTCATGTCATTGGTGTAATTTGGTACAAGCCCAAAAACCGAATCCTTGAAGTAAACAGCAATTTCCGAAAATAAACCTATTCGAGCGATTGCCATTGCGTGTCCAAACAATCGCAGCCGCAATCCTTTGGAGGCGGAGGAGGAGGCGGCAACCACATTCTGCACTTGGCTGCCGTAATTCTTTATGTCCTGTTCGGGTTGTGGAACTGGCTCATTGCCGTCAATTCCAGCCTAATCGAATCTAATTGAATGCATAAATACGGAAATAAATCAATTTAATTACAAAACAGCCAACAACAGTCACTGCAAACGGTTTACACGCACACTTAAACACACGAATCTAAATACGATTATTATAGCTATAAATAGGTATAAGCCTTGGTAATGCCTTGGGAGTACCACGAGAAATTGGGGATTTAAGTATATATTAATAAATTAATTGTCGAAGCAAGTGGATCCGCCGCCTGGCAATGGCGGTCCTAGCTGAAGGGGTATTCGCACTGTGACATAGTTTTACAGTTATCCTTGCGGATATAACTATTCCTAGTTTTCATTAGTTAAATATCCAAGAACTAGGTTAACAGAGATTGATTTAATGTCATCAACCACTCCATTAATTTAACTTCTTGAAGGCAGTCTGTTTTTGTAAAAATTAAATTTTATAAAAACAATCTAAACAACCAATTTACATCTTTTAGAAGTGCGGTAAATTTATGTCTGTTTAATACATAAATTGAGTTAGGCCTAGGCTAAATGGTTTATACATTATTATTATATAAAAAATGCATGTCTAAACACGAAATATAGAAAATTCTAATTATTATGTCCAGCACTAAAACTATAATGATCGGTAACCTTCTGGGGAACTATGAGAAGACGGTTCTCCTACGAGGTTGAGGTATTTATGCTTCAAGCACTGCTGATTGAAACCCCGATTGCCTGAGGATGCGAATTATTTACAAGGTAGCCCAGCCGCCAGAGCGAATACCCCACAACTAACTAAATACATATCTACAGATCAGTCGTGTTTAGTTGTCCAGGTGGTTGCAAGACTACAACGCCTCCGGGTAGAAGTCTCGATATGCGAAGTTTTCAATGAACTCTGGGCGGTGGCAGGCGAACAGGTGGTGGGGCAGCTCCTTGTGGGCGTGCTTCTCCAGCGCCTTGCGCGTCTTCTCTAGCAGCACGGCCTCGTCGAACTTGACCCGCTGCACGGTGGTCTTCCGCAAGATTGTTTGCACGAACTGTGACCACACGGATCCAGACTCCTCTGGCCCTGAGCCTGATCCCGAGCCCTCATCCGCTAGCTTCTCCTTTGATGGCTGGTTCGGTTCCTGCTTCTGTTCCTGCTGATTTGTCTTCGCCGCCGCCTTTGCTTCGCTTTCAGCGTAGACAGTGGACGCATCTGTTTTGGCAGCTTGGGCTTCTTCAGTGGCAGAATCTTTGCTCTTGGCCAGCGGAATGTCCTGCATAAGCGTCTGCAGCCGGTCAACTGTCTCCGCCATTCGTTTCCGGAAGTCCACGATTCGCCGGGTGTAGCTAAAGAGCGTCCGCTCCTCCGCCAGCTTTAGTGGCCTCATTCGCTCCTCCTGGCTCAGCTCGGCCAGCTCCAGCAGCGGGCGAACGCGAACGCCGGCCTCCGCGGTGCCACTGAGGTAGATCCGGATGGCGAACTCTTGCATGGCCGTGGTATTGACCAGGGCTTTGGCATAAGCGTTACGTGCTTTGAGAATCACTTCTCTAATAATGGCCAACTGGGTTGTGGAGGCGTTGACCACTTTCGGTTGAATATCTTGCGGATCCAGCTCCTCCAAGTGGGCCGGTCTGTCCAGGTTGTCCAACACCTCTGCCAAGTAATTGCGCATCTGCTCGCTGTCGCCCTGAAGAGTGAGCAAGCCAAGTCCCTGGATCAGGAGGATGTTGGCCTGGAATTGTTGCTCCAGCTCGTACAGCTGCCAGAGCGATCTCATCCGTGACTCGTACTCTTTTTGGGCACTTGTGCCGAGGACAGTGCTGATGTTGACATCGTACAGCTGCAGACCCCGGATGAAGGCCACGTCCATTGTGTAGTTACCCATGAAGGCCAGCACATAGTGGAGGGCCTCAGAGGCGCTGCCGAAGCTCTCCCGCCGCTGGGCAAAGAACTCATCCAGATCACTGACGGTCAACTGGTTGCGTGGCACCTCGCTCCTCTGCAGGCTCTCATTGAGCTCACGCTCTTCGCGAATCCGCTCAAAGTTGCTTACCAGCAGATCGCCGGCAGGCTGCTGAAACTCATCAAACACCTCGATGTCCACGGCCATGGTTGTGGTGGCGCCGGATTGCTCGCGTCCCTGCTCCTTCCTCGAATCGTGTGCCTGCACATTCTCAGGTTCCTTGAAATAGTATTCGTAGTTTTCCAAGTGACACTGCGGCACCCACTGTTCCTGCACCGCAACCTGACGCTCCCTGGTTCTTTCGAAGATCGCCCGTGCACTGAATCGCTGTAAGTCCAGGGACGCGTATATGTCTTCCTTATGGGCGTGGCAACAGTGAAGAGCCGACATGTCCATGGGATGTGCTTCCGTGTTGAAAATGTATGCACCTGCCTGCACTATGCACACATCGTCCTTGGTGGACAGAAGTTCCCCTCCAGAGCCATCGTTGTGCAGAAAGTTGTTCTCGTCGAACAGGAGATACAAGTATTTGCTTGTTTCTGCCAGGAAGAACGACTCCATACGATTCTCCTTTTCGTGGGTGACCACATTGCGGATCTAAAAAGAAAAACAAATTATAGAAGACCTTGCTCAAAACTTTTTTAAAGACGTTCTAACCGTTGCATAGCCGCACTTGGTCTTGGCACTGAACTCAAGGGTCTCGAGCATGTGCTCACCGAGCTCCAACAGGTACTCGTTCCCCGTTGCCCGGTATAGATACATGGCCGACTCAATTAGCTCCGGTCGCAAGGGATACACCTCCCGGTTCGGAGATGCTTCTCCTGCAGCGATGTTATAGAACTCAGGTAGAAAGCCGTACTTCTTCCAGACACCAATATACCTCGATATTGTGCGCAGTGCCGGCTCCGTATCCCCAATTATGCTGAGGATGCCGGGCCAAAATGCCTCCAGAGACTGAAAAACAGGCAGGGTGACGTGGCCTTTGTTCATGCCCACCCACACGTACCAGTCCTCCTTTCGCATGTACTTGTCGATGGCCGCGCGAGCCTCGTGGAACAATTCCAGTAGCTCCGGGCGATTGAGCAATATGGACGCCTTAACAAGGTATTCAAACAGGGAGTCGACTCCTGCTCCGATTCCCGAATCCAGGGCTGTCCAGCGACCGCTCTGCACATCGATGTGGTTGCCAAAAAGTCCGATATGCGAGCGATAGGCCCAGAGGGCGTGTATCGCCTGCATGGCCACCTCCTCGTAAATGCTGTTCCCGGTTAGCCGGCTTAGAGTGCCAAATTCGATAAGAAAGGTGCCTACACCCGCCGTGCAGGTTACCGAGGTTTCGCCCTTGGGCACGCCGTAGCGCAAATTTACGGTGCCGTAGGGCATACCCGTGTTCGTGTCGAAGGCGGGCAGCAAACGGCGGGCCATGTCCTCCGCCAGTCGCAGCAAAGGACCTCTGCAGGGCCAACCCAGTTCCACCTCGACGCCAGCCCGCTTGGAGAGTAGATGGGCGGACAGCAGGCCGCCAACGATGCGTATGTTTGTCTCGAAAACGGAGACATTGATGTCCCGGTCGAAGTTCATCTTCTCCTCAAGCAGACGGGCAACGCGGCGGAACTCCGTGAAGTTGCCCATAGTAGCCAGCGTGTCTAAGGCGTCAATTAGGGTCAGGGAGTAGCTGCCCCAAGTGTCATGGCCGTCGCAGGTTAGCGGACGCAGTTCGTCGTAGTTCGAGGCGTGACGCAAGTAGCCCTCGTATGCGTGCTGGAACATCCGCCGCACGTCCTCCCTGGAAATTTTCAGTAAATATTAGTATTCACTAGAGGAGCTAATCCCATTAACCCACCTCAGCTCCAGCTTTCTTGCCTTGGAGTACTGTTTCTGGCCGCTGATGTCGGTGGCCAGCAGAAGGAGCACTACACAAATCAGAGCCCTTCTGGTGTTCTGGGTCATCTGCTGCTGCATCGTGGGACAGTCAATCAATCAGAACTGCTAATTCAATTATGGGCATGGTCAGTGCCCCATAGCCAGCGTGGATTTGGTTGTGTGGATATCAGATGAGGCAACGTTGCCGCGAAATCAAAACATGGCAAAACCGTGATAGTCGCATCGCTCTTTAAATACTCTCACTTTTTGTAGGTTATATTGTTGTTTATTTGAAATTGTAATTTGGTATCTTTCCACTAAATGGAGAATATTTTATACAGTGTTAACAACACTTAAATGATCTTTTAATATTTATGTCTCATCCAGCATTGTTCATGTCTAATTATATGATACGAATATGATAATGATATATACTATGGGCAATATTTAAGTTTAATAGATTTTCCTGCACCAATTAAGTCAAAACGGTTAAACAACCGGCTATATCTCACAATACCACGCAATCAGCTGTTGCTGATCGAAAAACTATCGGCAGGGTGGTCCACACACTTTAAAATAGTCATAGCCGTTTTAAACGCACTCTAACAACCGAACCATCCAAAAATATGAGCCTTATAATTTAAAATGTATTTCTAAAATGAAAATCCACGAGATTAACGCGATTGTCTTTCAATTCGTGCCATAAAAATACCGATTATTCGCGATTGCTTGAGCGGCACTCGCGCCTTTTATTTTCTTAATCGCGTTGAGTTGGCAGCACGCATTTGTGTTTTTTTTTGGCTATTCAAAAGTGTGTTCGTTCGGGTAAAAAGTGTTTTAAAACCGAAATATTTAGCGAAACAGGCTGCTGATAAAAGAAGCAACTGCACCCAGCGGTAAGTAAATACCTTTCATTTAAGTTTTAAGCCCTGAGATCCTCCTGAAGAGTTGATTAAGTAGATTTTCAACCATTGTTGCTCCTGCTGTACGACAAATCATCTTTCTGTCCACCAGTTCGTACCTTGGAGGGAAAACATCTAATCAAGTGATCTACTGTCTCACATCGCAGGATGTGGACCATAGACTGGGTGCCTTTTTATACCCATTTTTAATGCGTTTCCCCAATTGCAATATGTACGCTTAATTGTCCGTTGGATGAAAAGTAAAAACATTGCAAAAAAAAACATGTGGGATCGCGTATTGCTTTCCAGAAACCTCCATTAAACATATCCCTATAACCCTTGGACCAAAGCACATTTCCTTTAAAAGCTTGTTTCCCATTGCCCCTCGAGTTATTTGCTAAGTTTTAAACAATTGAAGAAAAATATTAAATGTCTGCCCTAGAGTTGTCGTTGTTTGCATGGCATCGATAGCAGAGAGCCCCCAGCCACGGCGGCAACCCTACGCGCACACGCAAACCTATCGAAAATTTTTACCCCACGGTCGATAAAATACTTTCGTTGCTTTTTTCAATAGTCGTGTACGAAAATAATAGGAAAAAGCAAATAGTAGGGAAATAAATAGGGCAGAGTGTACCCAGTGCCCAGTGGAGTGTTTTGTTTTCCGTGGAGTACGGATTATTGTGCAACGGATCGGTCCAGCGGAAAGTGCAAATATGCCCAGTACGAAAAAGTGGCCAGCAAAAGCAATAACAAAATAGCAACAGCAACGTGTGTGTCTTGTAAGCAGCGAAAAAGTGCTCGTGTGTGCGTGTTTGCGTGTGTGTGTGTTTTGGGGGGTGGTCTGTGTGTTTCGCCCGTCCCGTGTCCATAAATTAGAATCGAACCAAATCGAAATCGACATTGAAGTCCGCTTCGCCACCGCGATGTCCGTCGACCAGGATCAATAACAACCACCAGCAACGGACCATTAATTTCTCCATAGCGAGAGGAATCAAAATTGGTATCGGAATCTGAACCTGAATCGGAGGAATCACGCGCCACATCAAACCCAATACGGAAAACGGCTGAAAAATGTTAGCTAAATGCCAAGTTATCTACAATCATTATGGTTTGCCCCTGTGTGCGTGCTTGTGGCTGCGTGTGTGTGCGATAGCAAAGGCGAAATCCGGTCAAATTGCGATGCCAAATTGTCGCCCAATTAATTGATCTTTCAATTGGCGAAGCACTTCATATTTTCCCAGCTCCATATGGCACTCGATATTGTCGTCCGTGCCTGGAAACCGCATCTCAAATTTTGCTACTGTCGCACAGGCATATTGTATAACCATTGTTTATCTTTGGACACTCCGGTTCCGCAGTGGAGTACAGTGGAGGCTGTCAGGGGTGGACGCGCCGATAAGTAGAGTGTCACCTGTTAAGCAGCCTTATCTTGAGAGCTTTACAAGCCACTCCGATTGACTTACTCACATTAGGACAGGAAAAGCCAGACAAGAAATAGCATACATGATTAAGAAGCTCCCTAGCAGATCGATATATATGTATACCAGTATGTACCTCACTGTACATCAGCCAGTTAGTGTTTCACAAAAGAAAAGTTTTTTAAATACACCTTACACCTTTCCCTTATCTTAGGGTAGAATCTTAGGGTAAACGCGAATCATTTGTTTGGGTAAATGTTACATTTATGCATTCACCTCAGAAGCCTTATGTAATAAACAATAGCTAAACTACCGAAATTTGAAACTGATTCCACAAACCTTCTTGTAAAGCAATTGCCCTCTTTCTACTCTGTGCTTGATCATATTTCAAAGGAAACCCTTATTTGCCTAGGTAGGTTGCGATATAACGACCTGCTGGTATAGCAAGCGACTTAGTTAGAGTAAAGTAATCGAAAGAGCCAAAAACCTTATGAGAGCCACTGCCTGCCAGCCTTTACTGTACCACACACGCACTCGAATCGGATTCCAATCTCAAGTTCTCACGCACACAGGGCCGACCGTCGCCATCCACCTGGTGGAGACGTGAGCAAATGTTTACTCAAGACCCGTTCTTACAGACCCCGCAGTAGCGTAGTCGGAACCCCTACCACCATCATCAGCGAGGAGCAGGAGAAGGAGAAGGAGAGGTTACCACCACCACTACCGCAAAGATTGGGTAAAGCGCGCCAGAATGGTGAGTACCAATCTGGTGGTGCCGGTGGTGCTGTGGGGACCCACAGCGCCCACGCACTGCATCTCGAGCGTGTTTCTCTCGGACGACCAGTTCACCCTTGTCACCGGCTGCTACGACGGACAGATCTGCCTGTGGCAGGTGGAGCCGACCACCCTGAAGATGTCGCCGCGCTGCCTGCTGGTGGGCCACTCGGCCCCGGTTTTGTGCCTGGTGCGAGCTTCGCTTCTTCCGGAGAACAACTTCCTGGTCAGCTCGTCGGAGAACGGTGAGATGTGCACCTGGGACCTCACGGACGGCAAGTGCATGGAGGCGGTCAAGCTGCCGCAGGTGCACACCCAGATCCAGAGCTACCACACGGCGAACAGCGAGGACGTGCGCCTCTTCTGCATTGGCTACTATGCCGAGATCATGGTCATGGACCCCTTCAGCCTGGAGGTGATCTACGTGCTCAGCTCGAAGGTCAAGCCGGACTGGATCTCCGCCATCCACGTGCTGCGTCCCATGCGCCGCAAGGACGACGTGGTGCTGGCCATCACCACAACCGGCACCGTGAAGGTGTGGACCCTAACGGGCAACGAGAACAAGCACGCGGAGCCCATCTACGAGAACGAGTCGAAGGAGATCCGCTGCCTGAACGCCATCACCATGAACTGCTGCGCCCAGAACCAGCGCACCGTGCTCCTCGTGTGCACCAAGTACTGGCAGATCTACGACGCCGGCGACTTCACCGTCCTCTGCTCGGTGATCGCCCCGGCGCGGGAGCGCTGGCAGGGAGGCGACTTCATCACCTCGGACCGGGTGATGCTCTGGACGGACGAGGGCAAGGGCTACCTGTACAAGCTGCCCGCCAACTGCATTCCGGACAACAAGGAGTTCCACTCGAAGAGCGTGGTCAGGGACGCTCCGTACCTCTACTACGTGCTGCAGCACGCTGGCGACAAGGTGCTCTCCTGCCCGCCGGCCATGAAGCTGCTCCAGGGCACCGGCGGCCAGCACAACCTGCTGCGCGGCGACTCCGAGGGCTACATCTCCGTGTGGAATGTGCCGGAGGTGCCGCTGGACAACATCAGCATACTGCAGGCCAAGCAGATGCCGCCGCGCGTCCTCAAGCCGCACGTGTGCACCTCCCTGGTGGAGGCGTGGTCCATCATGGATCCCCCGCCCGTGGGCATCCTGGACCAGTTGTCGCGCATCACGGAGTCGCCGGTCAAGCTGACCTCGAGCATCTACCTACCGCAGCAGAGCCGTCTGGTGATCGGCCGCGAGGACGGCAGCATAGTCATCGTGCCGGCCACCCAGACGGTGATGATGCAGCTGCTGGTGGGGATCAAGCAGAACTTCAGCGACTGGCCCTCGCACCAGATCCTCTACGGTCACCGCGGCAGGGTCAACTGCTTGCTCTGTCCCTCGATGGTGCACTCGCGGTACGAGAAGTCGCACCTGCTCTCCGGCGGCATCGACTTCGCCGTCTGCCTGTGGGATCTGTACAGCGGCAGCCTGCTGCACCGGTTCTGCGTCCATGCCGGCGAGATCACGCAGCTGCTGGTGCCGCCGGAGAGCTGCAGTCCCAGGATCCTGAAGTGCATCTGCTCGGTGGCCTCGGACCACTCGGTCACGCTGGTCTCCCTACAGGAGCGCAAGTGCGTGACGCTGGCCAGCCGCCACCTGTTCCCGGTGGTCACCATCAAGTGGCGTCCGCTGGACGACTTCCTCATCGTGGGCTGCTCCGACGGCAGTGTGTACGTGTGGCAGATGGAGACGGGCCACCTGGACCGTGTGCTCCACGGAATGCTGGCCGAGGAGGTGCTCTCCGCCTGCGATGAGCAGGCTGAAGACGGCGGCTCGGGAGGCGGTGGCGGCGGATCGAACGGTGCCTCCGCCAGCGAGATGGGCATGGCCAATCCGGCCGTGCACTTCTTCCGCGGCCTGAAGTCGCGCAACATGAACGCCATCCGTCACGCCACCCAGCGCGGGATCAACCAACTGCAGCAGCTCCAAGGCCACAACCAGGGCAACTTCGACTTCCTGATGAAGCACCGCAGCAACCCCCTGGTGATCCAGGGCCTCCGCACCAATCCGAAGGACGCGGAGAGTCACATCCTCTTCTTCGACATCGAGGGATTGATCTTCGAGCTGCACAGCGAGGAGTACGCACAGATGACGCCGGCCACCTTGGAGGCGCTCGGTGTCCACCTGCAGAACCCCAAGGACGGCAAGTCGATGCATCTGGATGCCAGCAAGAAGATTGGCGACTTCTTCAGCAAGGTCAAGAACAAGGCGGTGGACGTGGAGAAGATCCTGAAGGACAAGGACAAGCACGGACTGGTGCAGAAGTTCAAGGAGAAGACGGAGATCGTGGAGAAGAAGGTGCAGGCCAAGGTGGAGAGCCTGCAGAAGGCGGTGGAGCCGCACGAGGAGCAGCAGGACCTGAAGAGCAAGATCGCCTCCAAAATGGAGGTCACGCACGTGATGGAGGTGGCCCAGCTGCTGCTCTCGCTGCTCCACTCGTGGGGTCTGGACCCGCACCTGGACAAGATGTGCGAGACGCGCCTGGGCCTGCTGCGCCCCATTGTGCCCATCTCCTATGGCGTGCTCTCCAAAGCCGGATACATGTCCCTGCTGCTACCCACGTGGCAGAACAACTACGCCATACCGCCGGGCATCCAGCTGCCCTCCAGCTCCAAGAAGCGCCCGCTGCCAGAGGAGCTGCAGCGGCTGGAGCACCTCACCGCCGTCTTCACGTCGCGTCTGCACTGGGAGCTGAGCACCACGCTGACCACCAACCACATCCTCGCCCTGGTGGCCATGTCGAACACGCTGCTCTCGATGAGCGCCGCCTCCTTCCTGCCGGACAGCGAGAAGCACAAGAAGCTGCAGCGCCTCGCCCAGCGCACGGACTCGACGCTGAGCAACGAGGAGGAGCGCGAGGAGCTGATGGCCCACCACGTCTCGCAGATCAAGCACGCCTGGAGCCTGCTGGCCACCCACCACTGCTTCCTGCTGCCGGACAAGATCGAGGCCCTGGAGCCGAAGAAGTTCAAGCGTCCGCAGGTGGAGATGATGGTCAAGCGCTGGCAGCACCACTGCATCGAGATCCGGGAGGCGGCACAGCAGATCCTCCTGGGCGAGCTGACCCGGATGGGCAAGAAGGGTCGCAAGCAGCTGGTCGAGAGCTGGGCGCAGTACCTGCCGCTCTACACGCACACGGAGCCCATCGTGGGCGCCCAGCAGCAGCTGGCGCTGATCAGTCAGCCGGCGGGCGGCGGAGCTGGCTCCGGATCGGGTGGGAACGGCGGCGTCGGCGTGGGCGGTTCCGGAGGAGGCGGCGGCGGCAGCGGAGGTCCGGGCGGCAACGTTTCCGGGGGAGACGGCCACCAGGACGAGGACTACGAGGAGGAGGAGGAGGAGATCATACGCAAGCCATCCAGCCTGTCGGAGCTAAAGCGCAAGCAGACCACCGCAGTCATACTCCTGGGCGTCATAGGAGCCGAGTTCGGCCAGGACATATCGCAGGACTCGCCGAACCATCGGGGCAGCATCAGCATGGCCACGGGCGCCACTCTGGCCAGTGGCGTGGCCGTCGGCGAGCGCAGGAAGTCGAGTGTGGTGGAGGGCTTCGGCATAGCCAACAACCTGGCGCGGCTCACCTCGATGGCCCTGGCCCACCTGCTGTACGCGCCGCCGTCTCCGAAGCTGCCCCAGTACACGCCGCTGCGGCGGGCGGCCATCGATCTGCTGGGCCGCGGGTTCACCGTGTGGGAGCCGTACCTGGACGTGTCCAAGGTGCTCCTCGGGCTGCTCGAGATCTCGTGCGAGGGCAAGGCGGTGCCGAACCTGAACTACAAGCTGCCGCTCACTCCGCAGGCGGACGCCTGCCGGACGGCCCGGCACGCCCTGCGCCTGATAGCCACCGCCCGGCCGGCGGCCTTCATCACCACGATGGCCCGCGAGGTGGCCAGGTACAACACGATGCAGCAGAACGCGCAGTCGATCAACACGCCGCTCACCCAGTCCGTGCTGCACAAGGCGAAGGGCGAGATCCTGCAGTGCGTCGAGATGCTGATCGACAAGATGCAGTCCGAGATCGCCGGCCTGCTGGTGGAGGTGATGGACATCGCGCTGCACTGCGTCGACAGCAACGAGCTGAAGAGCCGCGGCCTGGCGGAGCTCTGTCCGGCCATCTGCAAGTTCAACCAGATCTCGCACTGCGCCCAGACCCGGCGCATCGCGGTGGGCGCGAACAGCGGCAACCTGGCCATCTACGAGCTGCGCCAGAACAAGTGCCAGATGATCCCGGCGCACACCCACCCGATCACCTCGCTGGCCTTCTCGCCGGACGGCAAGTACCTGGTCTCGTACTCCTGCGCGGAGAACCGGCTCTCCTTCTGGCAGACCTCGACGGGCATGTTCGGGCTGGGCCAGTCGCAGACGCGCTGCACCAAGGGCTACTCCACGGCGCCGATTCCGGACGTGTCGCGCCTGAACCCGATGCGCCTGGCCAAGCTGGTGTGGATCAACAACCGCACGGTGACGCTGATGCTGGCCGACGGTTCCGAGACGCGGTTCAACGTCTAAGCAGGTGGCGCTGGACGAGCAAGAGGGCGAGAGGAGATGGAGATCCAGATCGAGATCGAGATCTCCTGGGTCCTGGGTCCTGCGGGACCTTTAGCATGTTATTAGGCAATCAGCGCGGGCTTCAAAAGCAGCGGAGCGCAGTGGAGGATGGAGAATGGATGATGGAGGACAAGGAAGAGGATCGGGAGGCGAATCAGAGGGAGCAGAAACGACAAAACAATAATTATTCAAAAATAAAAAACAAAAACAAAAAACAGAAACGTCCTGCGTTTCGTTAAACGTAATTAAGGCAAAGGAAAACAAAAACAAAGAAAAGCTAAGCAACATTAGGTCAAAACAAAAACAAAAACAAAATCGAAAACGAAAGCGAAACAATTTTAAGGCAAACGGAAAGCTGGCTAAACTAATGCAAATGAGAAAATTCACAACACATTTTGTTATTTATTTATATACTTACCCTATATATCTGTATCTTATCCGTATCCGTATCCGTATCTGTATGTATTTTAATGTATTACACGATTTTACTACGCCCTTTGTTCCCCCTTGCTACGTCCATTTTATGTTTTAGTGCTAACGTTTTACCCCTACTCCTTAAGCGCGTGTTTCTGATTCTGTTTCTGTTCATTGTTTAACTTCCAATGCGGAAAAGAACAAAAACTAAATCCAAATATTAAAAGGTAAACAACAATTAACCAGATGCAAGCAAACAACCACGCGAGAAACAACAAAGGAAATTGAAAAAGATAAAAACAAAAACGAAAAAAACAAAGAATGAAAAGCTGTTATTATCATTACACAACTATTATTATTACTATTGTATGCTACTATTATTATTATTGATATTTGTTATGCCTAATGTATTGTTATATATATATATCTAAAAGAAACCTAAACAAATGTATTGAGCAAAGTTACGAAAAGAAAACAAACGGAAAACGAACACTAAATATTTATAGAGCGATCAGTTTTTTTTTTAACATTATAATTATTATTGTAATTCCTAAATATCTTCTTCTTTCGATAGTATATTTCTGCTAAGGCGTGTGTAAAAATCTTTGTTGTTACATATGTGAGAATTGTATAGGAAAATCAGTTTATAAAATACAAAACACAATATAACACACACACATACACACATTATTTATGTATTTCCGGCGGTAATATGCATCGAGCGAATAATAACGGTACTCGGGGGCCTAAAAACTATTTATCCTAAATATATAAATATACCCAACTGAATTTGCAATATGTGTTCGTTAACGTATTGAATACAACACAAGCAAACAACACAACACACACACACGTGTACTATGTGAGAGAGTTAATTGAATTTGTGCTTAATTTCAATTACGAATTATATATATATTTACAAGCATATATATGTGAATATACATGCATACTTATATACGAGATCCTTCAATCAAAGTATTACACAAACAAAACGAAACGAAGCAACTACCACAATTATGTACGGAGTATACAACAAATAAAGTCAACCAAACGTGAGCAAATCCTTCCAATTGCATTTTCCCTCGAGGCGGGATTGATTTTGATATTGATACTGAAGAAGCAACTTCGATGGTGTTGTCCAACACTTGGGTACTATTATAGCTATTTTCCAACACAATGCATGACAATACAAGTGACATCTGACCAACTCTCAGCTTCTGAATTTCAGCTTTTTGCTCGCCCAGTGAGAATGCCCGTCGCAGAAGCCCACAAAGGCCGGGGCAGGAAGGCAGCAGCTTCCGCTTCTGCATCCGCATCCGCCGCCGCAGCCCGGAGGCACTCGGCTCTCAGCGAGGATGAGGACAGCAACATCCAGCCGATGGAACAGGACGACGAGAGCAACCGCGACGACCACGATCCCGACCTCGACGAGGGCGAGGAGGAGGAGGAGCACCTCGACGAGGAGGAGGCCGAGGAGGAAGAGGAGCCGGACAGCAACGAGACCAGCGAGCCCGAGGAGCAGGTAGATCCGCCGGCCTTCAGCCTGGCCACGCTGGGACTGCAGCGCGTGGGCAGCGCCCCGCCGCCAAAGCCCAAGGTGCAGAAGGCCCCAATCCTGACCCTGAACGCCCGTGGAATGCCGGCCCGCATACGCAAGCGCAACCGGCTCTTCTACGACGAGAACATCATCAACGACGACAAGCCGCTGCGCATGAGCCTGGCGCCCAAGAAGATGCCCGGCAGGCCGCCGCTCTCCGCCGGGGCAGGCTCCGCCTCCCAGAAGACTCCGATCACGCCGTCCAAGGTGCTGAAGAAGCGCAAGGGCGTGGTCTCGCGCTACATGCGCTCCAGCGAGCAGGGCTCCAGCTCGAACTCCAACTCCAACTCGGCCGGCAGCCATTCGCAGCAGCAGGTGCAAGTGGGCAAGCACAAGAAGACACCGTCGAAGTCGCAGGCGGTGGGAAAGCTCTCCGCGGGCAGCAAGATGGCCGCCGGCGGATTCAAGTCGGGCCGCGGCGCCCACCTGGTGGGCAAGGGAGCGGCTGCGGCGGCGGCGGCAGCAGCGGCCGCCGAGGAGGAGGCCATCCAAGCAGAGGCCACCGCGCTGGCCAACAAGCGGCTGGGCCAGTCCATCGGGCTCCGGCTGCGCAACCTCCTGAAGCTGCCCAAGGCGCACAAGTGGGCCATCGCCGAGTGGTTCTACTCGTACATCGACAGGCCGCTCTTCGACTGCCGCGACGAGTTCATGAACCACGTGAACGAGCTGGCCCCCGGCTGGGCACCCGGAGCCTCAACCGCCACGAGTGGGTGAACATCAGGCGGCGGATGGGCAGGCCGCGCCGCTGCTCCGCCAACTTTTTCAGCGAGGAGCGCAGGGAGCTGGACAGGAAGCGGCAGCTGATACGCACCCTGCAGTCGCGCAAGCCCGGCGAGTTCAAGGACTCCATGCTGCTGTCGGACATGCCGGAGAAGATACCGATGCCGCTGCCGCTGGGCACCAAGGTCACGGCCAGACTGAGAACGCCCCAGGACGGGATCTTCGCCGGCACAGTGGCTGCCTACGACTCCATGAACTCCATGTACCGGGTGACCTTCGAGCGACACGGCCTGGGCACCCACGCCATCCCGGACTACGAGATCGTGTCCGAGAACTTCCACGAGATGCTGCCGCTGCACAGCTTCACGAAGGACTTCCGGCCGAACCTGATGAGCATCTACCAGACGAACAGCATGGGCTTCACCACCAACCTGGGCTTCACGGCCAACCTCACCAGCAACTACTTGCAGAAGAAGGAGAAGGGTGCGACCGGTGGCGGCGGCGGCAGCGGCGGGGGAGCCGTGGCGAACTACTCGAGGTCGCCGCAGAAGCACCTGGCCAGCAACAACGCGGCCGCGCGCAACGCACTCAGCATGAAGCTGAACAAGAGCGACCCCCTGCTGGGGCAGGACTGCGTGGGCGAGAGCCCCATTCGGCAGCAGCTGGCGAGGCACCACGCCTACTCCAGCTCGCTGCTGGAGCACCTGGTGCACCTGCAGAAGCACATCGCGGTGAAGGCCGACCGCATCCAGCGCCTGAACAAGATGAACGCCACCGCCGAGCTGGCCATGGGCGAGATGATCAGCCAGGACGAGAACGGGGACCGCCATCGGCGCCAGATCGCCGACAACTTCCAGCGGCAGTACGCCTTCAACATTGTGTCCATCGAGCGCATCAACGGCGAGCTCATGTTCGAGCTGACCAAGGTGCAGGAGATGTCCACCAGCCTGACGCGCAACCCCAACGTGCAGGCCATGATCTCGCCGACCTACCTGCGCGAGGAGTGCCGCGCCAAGGCCTCGCAGACGGTGGACGACATCAACAAGGGCCTGGTGAAGAATCCGCGCATGATTCGTCTGCTCAAGAACCTCACCACCCTGCTGATCGTGACCCAGAACCTCGGCGGCGACTGCGACGTGGGCGAGGTGAACAAGGTGCTCGAGGGCTGCCTCGAGGAGGTGCGCAGCAACCTGTTCTGCGGCGACAACAGCGAGGTGTTCCAGAAGAGCGTCCAAGTGCGCCTCGAGTACATTGCCATGGACATCAGCCGAAGCCTGGAGGAGCGCAGCCAGAGTCGCGTGGCGGATGGTGCAAAGTCAGCGGTAAAATCCGAGGACCAAGACAACAACGACAGGGAGGAGATGGACGAGCAGGAGGGCGCCACAGACAGCCCCAAGGCGAAAACGAAAGGAAGACCGGAGCAGGCCGAGAAGAAGAACCAGGCCGGAGCGGGCAAGAAAGACCAGGACACGGAGGAGGAGGACAAGTTGGACTCCGACGAGTCGGACAACGCAGAGCACTTGAACCCGCTGCAGCAAGACGACACGGAGGAGCAGCACCTGGACCCCGAGGAGGAGTCGCCCAATCCGTCAGCCACCGAGGACACGCAGATCACCATTGAGTCCATGAAGGAGTCCGACGATGAGTTCCACTCGACCGCCGAAACGGAGGAGGACGACCTCGAGCAGCTGAAAATGGAGGAGGACGAGGGCGAGGAGTTCGTCTACGAGAAATAGCCTGCACAGGACCGACCAAGCTGCATCTATTCGCTAGTCGAATACCAACCATTTTTAACAACGGCCTCCTGGACCTTAGTTTAAACCCAAGAGTAGGAGTAAAGTTTCGAAGAAGGTGTTGCAATAAAGCTGTAACAAAGTAACCAGTAGGAAGTTGGAACTCGTTTGCGTTTCATGCCCTTGCAGAGGTCAATGTAGTAGGACCTCAGTCGGAATATAGTATGACCTCAGTGGAGAAAACGCCTCAGAGCTCAGTCTAGACATGTATGTACGTCTGTCCGTTTCTATATCATATAGCTCCCATAGGAACAATCGGAAAAGTAATGGGAACATATGGTTACGTCACTAATCTTGATCATTTTTTGTATAATGTTTTTAACGACCTTAGATTTTGAATTCAGTTTCATAATAATAAGAAAAGATCAACCACTCTTTATAAAATGAATAGGTGAAAAAAATAAAACGTTTTTTTTTTATCATTCAAGAATGATTTTTGGAACAAGAATTTTCTAACGAATTTCGAATTACGAATGCAATATCAAGTTCAAAAGACTTTATCACATAACTGGGATCTCCCTCAAAAAAATATAAATGGCAAATTCGACAAACTAATGAATAAACATTACAATATTGCTGACGTTGTTTAAGTCGATCCAACAATTTATAAAAAAAAATTGGTACTATAGATTTGTGATGAGTCTGTGTCGTTTTTATCCACTTAGTTCAAACTGCAAGGGTACATAGGCATCGGCTTGCCGAAGCTAACTTTCATTTTTTTATTTTATGTATAGCACTGACTTTCTAGTAGAACGTGAACTTTGAACTTTCAAGACAGCCTTAATAAATAAAAGGTTAAAAAATAATTTAAGGAGTCTTTAATTTGCGTTGAAGGGCAAAACATGAACCAATTACTACTTTTATAAAATCCATTTTTGGGATGAACCATTTAATGGTTCTGGCTTTAGCATTTAGAAGTCTTTGAAAATCGTTGCAGAAGGTAATGTGAAAAATAGTGGTTAAGCCTTTGCCTAGTCCTCTTCCTCCTCATCGTCGTCATCCTCTTCGCTGGACTGATCCAACCAGGCCACGAGCTTCCCCAGGCTTTGTCGCAGGGGCGCGAGCTCCTCCTCGTCCAACTGCTCGTACCAGGTCTTGATCGCCTCCTCGGAGACAAAGTCCTTGTCGTACAGGTAATGCACTATCTGCGATATCTTCTCGCGCACCAAAACGTTTTCCTCGTACACGTCCTGCGTAAGGGGGAAACTTAATCAGTTTTCAGGAAGAGAAAAGCGTTAAAATCACCTCCAATGCCTTCAGGCAGTCCAGCATGGCATCCTCGCTCTTAATGTAGTTTGAGACCACAGGTCCCAGCTGCTTGAAGGCGGCATTAATTGCCACCAGCACGTTGTCGTTCGCCGGCTCCACGATGCTCTGCATGCCGAACACAGCCTTCACCACGTTGAAGTTCACCTCCTTGAGGGACATGTTGTAGGCGTAGCGCGATGAGTTGATTTCGAGTATAAGGAAGTCGGGGTTGGACTTCTCGCGGAAGCCGCGCGTCAGGGAGTCGATTACCTCGCCGAGGAAAACTGAGATGTGAGATGTAAAGTGTTGATAAAGCGCTCTCCAACATGCCGCGGTTACACTCACTGTTTGTGTCGTCGGGCAGCGGCGTCACCGCCCGAGACGCGTCCTCGTCGTCGTCGCTCAGGTCGCTGCAGAAGCTGATCTCGTCCAGCTGTGCCAGCAGGTCTCCCATCTTGGGTATGCTGAGCGGCTGCTGTGGCAGAAAGTCCTCGCCGTCCGAGTCTTCGGGATCGCCGGTGGTCAGATCGCTAACGATGAAGGCGTGCGGCCCAATTGACTCCAGCTCGATCGGATCCTCTTCTTCGCTGCGCTGTGTGCTGGGCGCGCTGGTGACGAGGGTCTTGGCCAGCGTCGTCTTGGCCGGCAACACGCTCTTCGCCCCCAGCACACAGCCCGCGCTTACGTCGCAGTCCTCGTTAATGGTGGCGCCAGCACCCACCACGCAGTGCTCCAGCCGGCAGTTGTCCTTCACGGTGACGTCGCCCAGGAGAAACACATTGCTTAGCCGACAGTTCCGTCCGATGCGGCAGTTGGCTCCGATCACACTATCGCTGATCACGGTCCCGCTGCCCACGCGACTTCCCGCCTGGACGACCACGTTTTGGTGCAACGCCACCTTCGATACTTGCGCCTCGGGGCTCTTGTAGATGTTGTCCTTGTGGAAGACGTACTGCTGCTGCAGCTTGTAGACGCCCATGTCCGGGACGAGCGGGTAAGCCCATCGGTTGACGATGTCCCGGCTGACCAGCTGGTAGGCTAGCCAGTTGTTCACCTTGTGAGCGTACTGGGCGTCCGGCAGCAGGGCCACGTATATGCGGCTGTCCAGCAGCTCTTCATTAATCAGAAGTCCGCGCACGAAGTCGTCGCGCGTCTGGAAGTCAAAGTTGTCGCTAAACAGCGACAGCATTGAGGGCGAGCCGATGGCGATCTGCGGGTCGAGCAAATTGTGGTGAAGCGCCACGCACGAGTTGCCCAAGAAGACGTCGAGTGGGATCTGGTAGCGCGGCTCCTTCTGGTGCATCCGCAGCCGCTGGTGGTAGTGCAGCCGGTCGTTGCGGCGGTCCACGGCGATCAGCACCTCGTTGCCGGTGCGCACGTTGTTGGAGCACTCCTTAAACACCAGCGTTGCGGCGGTGCCCTTGTCGAACTTGGCCTGCCGCTTGTGTTGCTCGAGCACCGGTCGTAGGTCGGCGTTCGTCACGGTGTCGGCGCCCAGCAGGATGAAGTTGCCGCGGATCAGCGCCTTTGCGTCCAGGTCTCGCATAGCGTCACCGAAACAGCGGCAGCCCTCCCCGCCGATCACGTGAACGGTCATTTTGAAAGACCACGCGGCGTATGCAGCGATTCCGGCCCTGCGGAAGACAACAGGAATCGAGAAACATAAGTGAGCAGCGCAATTGCGTCAGCCCGGAGGCGACTTACTTAATGTGGTCCCGGATGTCCTGCAGGAAGAGGCTGGCGTACACAAACACCTCCTCCACACCGCTCCGATTGAGGGCGATGAGTGCGTAGTCCAGCATTCTCACATTGACCAGAGGGAGCAGTGCCTGCGGAGACACAGATAAAGGGAGAACCGGGCGGCGAGTTATGCTGCTTGTCGTGCGCGACCCCTTGTGGGAGCACTCACCGTGGAGCCTTCGTCGGAGAGCGGCTTGAAGTTCCACACATTATTGTCGGCTATTAGCACCGCTTGCACGATTTCCTTCTCGAATTGGGCCATATCCTTATCCTTTCGATTTCAATTGTTTTTGTTTTCGTGGATCAGTATTCTAGGGCTGCGAAACATCGGTCTCAAAGTATTTCGAAGTCGAAAACGATGCTTTGCTACCAACCAAGGTTCCAGTCGAGTTTCCCACCACACCATCACATTTTTGCAAGAAGCGTTAGTACATTATCGGTTCGACACGATACTCTGTTAACATGTATGTTAACAGATTGGTTATGAACCCGACATGCTATGGCAGTGCTGAATTAAACTGCCCTTGCGACCCTAAACATGAGACGGGCACACTGGCAAAACAAAAAACAACAACAACGGCAGGCAAATTCGTCCGGAGGAATAATCGAAATAAATAAAAATGAGCCAGCGCCGTAATTAGCGCGCGTGCCAGTTTGTCTATGAACAGCGCTTGTTTCCGCCTCACCTGGCTGCAACTCGCATAGCGGAGGGTAGTCGAAATTACTGACATCGCATTACCCGATGAATTGGTGCCTCCGTACGGGTGGATCCGTGTGTTTGTGCGATACACCCACCTTGAGCAGCAGCAATAGCAACAACAACAGTAAATGAAGCGAGAAAACAAACAAACGGCGATTATTACTATTACCAACGATTGTGGCAGTCAAGAGCAGGGTCACCCGACCAGTGGATCCCGATTCAGGGGCCCCAGATCCAGTTGCTCGCCCTTGCCACCGGAAATTGGAATCCCCAAGTCAATACACAATTCCACTGTGAATTTCAATCGCTGGGCCTTTGCGCCAACTATAAATAGAAAAAGCAACAACGCAGCAGCAAAGACCAGAACACTGTCCATATTCATATCTACACACATACACACCGACGCAGAAGAAGAAACCCATAAGTATTATTCTTCATTCCGAGATTAATGCACCCAGCACTTACTAGGAACTAGAAGGAGGAACTCGAAACCACATCACTAGAAAATGGACGCGGTGGGAAACAATGTTCCCAACGGAACCGCTTCTGTGACAACCACCAGGACAGTCAAGGATATTGTCAAGGAGCGATTCAAGGAGGACGAAACCATAGAATACGTAAGTAATCAATAGTCGAAAGAAAAGAAATTAAAAACTCTAAAAAAAAGCGGGCTAATCTATGTAGCTTAAAGTCCTTATATGGAATTAAAAAAAAAAATTATATATGGTGAAGAATTTCACCGGAAAATACAACTTTGAGGATGATTAATTTATTTCAAATAACTTCACTGGTGACTGTTCCAGAGGAAATAAATTATTTCAATAATGTAACCAAGCATTAAAGTTTGCACGATGACTAACGCCCTTAAACATAACGCTTAAACATTTCTCAAACATATTGATAACAAGCTAACCCTTCTTGGTGGCTAGTTTTCTTTTGTATGATAAGCACAGTCATTTATTTGTACACCCCTCTTGCTTGCGGCCATTGAATGCTTCCATGAAACGATCCTGTCTTTTCAGATATTCGAGGCTTATCAGATCAAGGGTCCGGAGTACACCAACCGTCTGCTGGCGCTTGTTTCCTCTAAATCGGGCGGAACATTCGCCATCATCGCGTTCTCCTACTTGCGCACTCCGCTGACGTCCGTGAACGAGCTGATCATCAACAAGGTGTTCGCTATCGATCACAACTTCCAATTGCGGCAGGGTAAGAAGTCCTTGTGGCTTAAGAATCAATTCTTATTTGAAATTTGGTTGATAAACAATTACAATAGTTGCTAATTGTTTTTGAGTTTCTAGTTTTAACGCCTGTTATTGCCAATTCTATTAGTTGAGAAATATTTAACTCATAATAAGCACTGTGTGCAGTAACTATTTGTAAAGTGGGCACCTAATCAACAGTCGACAGCACTTAATTGCAGGCAAATAGATGAGCTGAATAGATGAGCTCCCAGGCGCTCTTCGTTTGTGATGTTAACTGAAAGTTGTGGGAAGATAAATAAGTGAAGATAAAGCTACTTACGCTCCCCTGTCTATTTCCGTTGCATTGCAGATAGCAAGACCTCTATCACCACACAGCAGTTTGACCTGTCCACGGCAGAGGATGGCCCCATCAAGTACTACTACTACGCCACGGAGGGCGACCACTACGAGGAGTTCGTGGCCAGGGTAATCGCCTTCAAGAGCACGATGGCCCAGCACGATCCCGAGAAGGTGCTGAACTTCAGGTGGCTCAATGATTACCGGCAGATTGGCGAGGTGAAGCAGGAGCTGAAGAAGCGGGAGAGCGAGTACATTGTCTACAAGGATATTATGTAAGCTGCAACCTCCTCTGTTAAGCTTCAGCCCCTGACAATTGGCTTACTTTTTACTCAGCATCTACTGCGCCACGTGGAATGTGAACAACAAGACCTGCAGCGATAGCAATAATCCGTTGAGGGCATGGCTGGCGTGCAGTGAACAGCCGCCGGACATCTACGCCATCGGCCTGCAGGAGCTTGACACGCCCACCAAAGCCATGCTGAATTCCACCCAGGTGCAGGCCCTCGAGAAGCATTGGATGTGAGTGTTACCCATGATTTTGTTGGCCCCAAAAAGTTCACAACGCCTTTCCTCCGGCAGCGACAAGATGATGGACAGCGTCCACCCGGACGTAGAGTACGAAATCCTCATGTCGACCCGCCTGGTGGCCACCATGCTAACGGTCATCGTGCGCAAGGAGCTGCGCCAGCACATCATCCGATGCCGCCCCAAGTCGGTGGCCCGCGGCATCTTCAACACTCTGGGCAACAAGGGCGGCGTGGCCATAAGCCTGCAACTCAACGAGGGCAACATATGCTTTGTAAACTCGCACTTGGCTGCCCATATGGGCTACGTGGAGGAGCGGAATCAGGACTACAACGCCATTGTGGAGGGCATTCGCTTTGACGACGGACGCACCATCAGCGATCATGAGTGAGTTTGGGGAAAATGTGATGAGCGGTTGGCTCAAATTTAAGTGTCGGCCAAGAAAACTTCAAAAGCAAACATTTTCAACAGCGAGACGATTGCATTCAGTTAATTACCCATCTCTTTCTTTTTCCAGTCACATTTTCTGGCTGGGCGACCTAAACTATCGCATTCAGGAGCCGCCCGGGCAGCAGCGACCAGGACCGATGAGCGACGCGCAGACCTACGAGCTGCTCCTGCAATACGACCAGCTGCGCCAGGAAATGCGGCGCGGCAAGTGCTTCGAGGGGTACACCGAGGGCGAGATCAAGTTTCGGCCCACGTACAAGTACGACCCGGGCACAGACAACTACGACAGCAGTGAGAAGCAGCGGGCGCCGGCCTACTGCGACCGGGTGCTGTGGAAGGGGACGCGCATTGAGCAACTGGCCTACAACAGCATCATGGAGATACGGCAGAGCGACCACAAGCCTGTGTACGCCGTTTTCCGGGTGAAGATCAAGACACGCGACGAGATCAAGTACAAGAGGGTGCAGGAGGAGGTACTCAAGGCAGTGGACAAGCGGGAGAACGACAACCAACCGCAGATCAACGTAGAGAAGACGGTGATCGACTTTGGGACTGTACGGTTCAACGAGCCGAGCACACGGGACTTCAACGTCTACAACAATTGTCCGCTGCCCGTGGACTTCAGCTTCAAAGAGAAGGACATCCACGCCATCTGCGAGCCCTGGCTGCACGTCGATCCACGTCAGGATTCGTTGCTGATCGACTCCGCGCGCAGCATCCGCTTGAAGATGCACGCCAATGTGCGGACCATTACCGGGCTGCTGCGCAAGATCCGCGCCAGCGACAACTTCGACATTCTCATTCTACACGTTGAAAACGGACGGGACATCTTCATCACGGTGACGGGCGACTATCAGCCCAGTTGCTTCGGTCTCTCTATGGAGACGATGTGCCGCACCGATCGGCCCTTGAGCGAGTACTCCCAGGATCAGATCAAGCAGCTGGTAAGCGTAGTGGCAGCAACTCATCTTGAATGTCGGGAACACAACACTCTGTTTTTCAAGTGCAGGGGCTAATTACGTTCCCAATTTATATTGCAGATGAACGACGAATCGCCGGAGTATCGCGTGACCATGCCACGGGAATTCTTCCTGCTAATCGACTATCTGTACAGGCAGGGCGCCAAACAGGAGGGTGCCTTCCCGTCCTACGACTCACGTCTTTCCCTCGGCCCTCACTTCAACTCGGTACGCGACTGGCTGGACACCTGGTCGGATGAGCCGTTCCGTAAGTGGACTCAATAAGGCAGCAACTGTAAAATATCTGATTATTCCCGACCGATATGCAGCTGCCAATGCGGAGACTGCTGCGCGGGCGTTGCTGCTGCTGCTCGACCTGCCGGAGCAGGCTTTGCTGGAGCCGGTGGTCGAGAACCTGCTGGAGTGCACCAACAAGTCGCAGGCGATGGACTACATTTCGTTGCTTAGCCCGCCGAAGCGGAACGTATTCATGCATCTGTGCATGTTCCTGCGCGCGGGCATAGAGAGCCAGTTCTACGACCTGCATCAAGTCGGTGAGTAGCGGGTGGGTTCTGTTCCGTGTATGTTGTGTGTGACATTTTTCCTCTCGGACAGCCTCCACCTTCGGCCGCATCCTGCTGCGCAGCACGGAGCGCGCTGCCTGGATGGACTACCACAGCCGCTGTATCAATTTCATGCGGCTCTTCATCGATTCAGACGCCGAGACAATGGGCAACGGCAATGAGGCCACCGGAACAGGGACAGGATCCGGATCCGGGACCAAGGCCGGACTGCAGGCTTAGTCGGTCCCGGAGAACGGCGATAGTTGTACATAGTGTTAGGCTATTTATTTTACTTGTTGGTATTTTGTTGGAACTTAGCATTAATGCATATTTCTCTGTTTTATTTGTTAATTGTTGGTGCCCAACCTTCCGTTCATTCCAACTTGGTTGTCCCGAATTACATCCCGGAATAACCCGGTTCTTGTTACAACGCATACATCTCAAAAGCGAACCAATATACAGATCAAATCTTCAGTTATTGAGCCTGCGAAACGTCTTACGAACTATTGAGTGCAGAAATAAAACAAAATGTATTGTGTAAATAAGTTAATCGAAATGTATACTGCACACTCGTTAAATCAATGTTTTGTTGAGCACGATTGCTTGTTAGTTTAAATTAATTAAGATTTCCGCCGGGAAACTTGTGACTTCTTTAAAACCCTGGTTTCAGTTCCAACTGAAAATAAATAACACCGCTCCACACAGTATCAAAATAAATACCTTTTATTTTATTATTTCTTGACCATTAAGTGAAGTCGAGGATTTCCCATTTTAGTGGGGCACCCAAGTTAAATTGTTCGAACTTACACACTTACTACGAAAAGTGCGCGCAGGATCGATAACAATCGATTACATCGACCAAAGCTGTAGTAAAAGCACACCGATTCACGATGGCGTAGAGGCATTTAGTTTTTTGGAACGACAGCCACACCGGTCCCGCCCTCCAAAATAAAAAAGCAATGCAAAGGCCGCAATTTGGATATAACTAGTCAAATTTATCGAAGAATATTTCGCCGCGCCTAGCTGAGCACCATGGACTGCACCACGTTCCCCAAGCATCCCAAAATGGACGAGCAGCTGGCCCGGGCGTTCGCCGCCAACGAGGAGGAAGAAGAGAAGCACATCCAAAAGGTGCAGAACGCCTTCCTCTATTATGGGTAAGTACTGTTTCTGGTTGTTTTTGTTGCCTTGGAGCACATGCTGACTGGAGCGCCGGTGAATGGGGGCTGCAGCACGCCAGGGAACGGCTCTGCTTGATTGCCTGAACAGACATGCTGCCGACAAACTCCCGTTTCGTGCCTGTCTGTGCATGGCAGTGTTGTCGATGCAGGCGCATTCAAGCTAAATCTAGCTACCACTTTTTAAAAGTGCGCGGTAACCCGCTTATGCATTTCCGCTCTATTAGCAAATTAATTAATTAGTATAAATAAATGCATACAAAGTTTACCTCAAGAAATAATTTTTTTTATTTTAAATCCTGAAACATGTTTAGGGATATAATAATATACCAAGACGAGATTTAGCCCTTTGTTATCATTTGTATTGATAAGCATGTTTATAGAAACTAAGTGGCATTGACTGATAATGGAAATTAATTATTTCCTCCCACACAGGCCATATGCGTGCCAGCGACTAAAGCGCTCCATGGATTACCTTAACAGCTTGTCTGGAGAGGATCAACACATGCTGACCAAGTACCGGGCGCACTTGGAGTGCGTCCGCACGTGCATTGACCGCAATCAGGCGGTCATTAGGGAGATTCTCCGGGCGCGTGTTCTCTACCCTGCGGAGGAACCAGGTGCCAGTCCTTCGAGGGATCGCTGGGACTTCGACGAGCCGCCGCCGAACGTCAGGCACGGCGATATGGACCAGGTAAACGGCTGAAGCACTAGATTCTTAGAAACCCTTCCTAATTCTCATCTTAACGTCCACGCACCATAAGACCTGTTTTCCCAATATTAGTTTTTGCATTTTACAATATCTTGAATAATTTATATTTATCTATCAGTTCTGTAGAAGTATTTCATTCGCAAATCCAAATTCTTAAGTTCTTCCTTTTACTAACAATTGGCACTCATATTCTTCTTCTTTGTGTTTTTTTTCCAAATCTGTACATGACACTTGCACCTCGTATCTCGCACCCGCTCTAATCCAAATCGCAGAATGAAATTCCATTCGATGAAGCTGACGTAGAACCTCTCAAAATTTTAAAGGCCCAGTCGACGTTGAAGTTGATTGCGCGAGACTGGAGCATCGACGGCGCTTTGGAGCGAGAGCAGTCCTATAAGCCGATCATCGATAGCATCGTGGAGTACTACAAGCCCAGCGATTAGTGAGTGACTTCTCCGCTGGATCCAGCTCGTCCATGGTTTTAATATCCGTTTTACTAAATCCTGCACAGTGAGCTGAAGGAGATTAAGATCCTGGTGCCGGGGGCGGGATTGGGAAGGTTGACCTACGAGTTGGCCTGCTTGGGATACTCGTGCGAGGGCAACGAGTTTTCCTACTTCATGCTGATCGCTTCCTACTTTGTCCTTAATCTGTAAGTCAAGTCAGGTTGGGAACTGAGTTTCCAACTCCTTGTAAAAAGTAAGTTTAACATAGACCGTACCTTTCGTTACCTTCGATAGCTGCGACTACGAGAACAAATATGTGCTGTACCCGTGGGTCCACCAGTATGTAAACAATCTAAGGCGTGAGGACCAGGTGGCCGCTGTGCGCTTTCCCGACGTCTGCCCGAATAAGAACCCGCCCAAGGGCGAGTTTGTAATAGCAGCCGGGGATTTCCTTGAGGTCTACAAGACGCCGCACTCCTACAACTGCGTGGCGACGTGCTTCTTCATCGATTGTGCCAACAACGTAATTGATTTTATACGTACTATTTACAAGTAAGCACGATGAGATCCATACACCCCATTTGCTTATTGCCACCATTTTCTTGCAGAATTCTCGTGCCTGGTGGCATTTGGGTGAATCTCGGTCCACTACTTTACCACTACAGCGACGTTAGTGGTCAGAACAGCATTGAGCCGACGTTCGAAGACCTGTGCATCATCATGGAGAGCGTGGGCTTCGTAATCGAGAAGTCGCGCACCGGTATCCACACCAAGTACGCCCAGAATCCATCGTCGATGAAGCAGAGCGAGTATCAGAGCCTTTTTTGGGTCTGCCGCAAGCCGGATCCGTTTAAGGAGCAGCGGGGCAAGCGGAAGGTCTCCCGGGAGCCACACGATCTCATTGTGCGGGAGGACAGCGAGGAGGAGCAAGAGCATCATGATCGGGAAGAAAAGGAGCAGGAGCAAGCTCAGAAGCAGGCCACGGGCAACGATGAGACTGAAATGGAGCTGGCCCAGACAACGTGATAGCTACTGAATCGCAACCCCAACACCACAGCCGAACCGAAATCAAAACCTTAACCCAAAGCCAAACCCACCTACAGATGCCATCACCCCCATCAACCTACACGTCACAGGCAAGAAATGGAACTCGAATTGACCAACAGTGGTTCGACGTTGCAGCGTTATAGTTATACCTCTATTCTGTATAAAATTTAGAGTGACTTGTTGTACATTTTTAGACCACATGGAAAAATATACAACCAAATATACCAAAACAAAGCATTAAATATAAATAAATCGTTTTTATTTCCTTGCAGAGGGTAAATAAGTCGAAAAGAACCCGGATCGGGCAACTATATCGTTTAGCTTCCATAGGAGAAACTTAGAATCCTAGTCCCAATTGCACTCGTTCGAATCGGTCAGACAAACCCACAATTTTTGGACCAAACACTTTTTGAAGTACCAGGCGAACATAAAGCCATAGTAGGTGGAAATGGACAAAATTTTTTAGAAAAGTTGCTCACTGACAGAAGCTGACAAAAATTGTTGGAAAAGTTGCTCACTGACAGAAGCTCTATGCTACTAATTGCTTACTGACATTTGATTAGAATGATTTGCCCTCAAAAGCATGCTACACTTTTTTAAATTAAAAATTCCCACAATTAAATCTACCCCTACTAATAAATTCTGTTAACCTGGTATTTGAAATCTAAGTGTCACAAATTTTCTCGTTGAAATCGTTCGGCCAAGCCCATGCTAATTTTAAGATTTTCCAATTGAGAGAGATAGAGCAAACAGCAAATAAACCACCAAAAGAAAGACAAACTTTTGATAGTTTCAGTTTATTTTTCATAATTCAGTATAACTATTTCCTAGGCTTATACTGTAAGTTTCGGGACAATCCATGTCTTGTAAGTCTTAAATGCGAGTCTAGTCAATTAACTATTCTTAAGATTAGAGTCCAACGCTGTGTCCCCGTTTGCTGCCCAGGCTGGTGGCATGTGGATTTCCCGGATGAGTCAGGAGACGAGAACGCAGTAGCCCTTCTGTATGTTCCCCATAGCCATGACCTGAAATGAGGTTAAAAAACAAGAATACATTAGTCATCATTAGTTAATTTTTTATTTTTTTGACGATTTTTTTAAATTTTTATGATACAACCCCTTTCCAAATTTACTGAATATGGGTTTGCTGAAAATTGACCAAAATTCGCTAGTTTTAAGTCCATAATTTTACTAATTTTTAACAGATTTTAAAATGGCATGTCTCTAAAAGTTTTTATTTTATCCTTTAACCAACTGCATCATTAGAATTTTTTTTTAGTTTTTATGATACAACCCCTTTTAAAATTGCCAAAAAATGGGTTTGCTGAAAATTGATCAAAATTCACTAATTCTTAATCAGATTTTTAAGTGGCACGCTTTTTAAAGTAATTTTGTTTCATTGATTTTATATAAATAAATATGTAATATAATTTATTTCATTGGAACCTGACGACTATAGAAGTCATAGGAACAATTTGTTAATTGAAAAATAAATAGAAAAATCGTCATTACTTCAATGTTGTTTTGGCTTGATGCTTTTTGCTCGTCATTTGTGATGACTGCAAGGGTATATAAGCTTCGGCTCGCCGAAGATAGCTTCCTTTCTTGTTATTCGTTCAATTAGTTGTTCTAATTAACTAACTCAATTTATGGATCAGTGTCAGTAAGAAACAGTTTTATACTTTTTTTGGGGATGTCAAATAATAAGCTTTGAAAAGCCTTTATTGAATGATGGAAATGTCTATAAACAATATGCACATTTGTTTGTATGTATATCAGTCACGTTCTTAATTCTGATTCCTGTTTACTTCAAACCAATCTCTCGAAAATGGACTTGATGTTAACGGTTGACAGAGAATTTTGACCCTATTCTACACAATAAGCCAGTAAAAAAGAAAGGCTAGCAGTTATTTTGAAACTTTAATCACAATAATCACCACATCGCCATACCCGAATGCATAGTTCTACTCCTGCTACGTGTCCGGAATCGAGGGATCAGCTTTCTGGGCCTGTGGGGAAGCTGCGCCAGTTGTCCGACCGCCACTGGCAGCGAGTGTCCAGGTGGCGCATCTTGATCTCTGCGTAGATCTTCTCAAAATGGGGCGCACCCCGGCGGGCACTCTCCGCAAGGATCTCGAACCAGATGGCCTCGCTCAGCTCGGTGCTGGTGTGGCACATAGAGACGCGCGTAGATCCGAGGACGCGCTCTCGAAACTGACGCACCAGTTCGCCCAAGCCGGGATGGAAGGCGGTGGCCCCGTTACCGCTCACCTCCGGCAGCAGAAAGGTGTTCAGGCAGCGCCCCTCTCCTCTACCCCGGTAAATGGGCAGTCCCGTGGGCCCGTACAAGTACGCCAGCTTCTTGTCCAGCCGTTCCCGATGCTGCGGATCGAAGTCCATCCGGCTGGCCCGCGCGCGCACAAACAGAACCTGCGGCAGGTGGTCCCGCACATAGCCCTTGCAGGGCACCGTCGGTCTTAGTCGGAGGGCTGCGTTTATCAGGCGCAGCTGCTCTACAGCCAGGCCGTCGACGACCAGGATCAGGACGTGGCACACACTCAACAGCTGTGCCATGGCCGCCAGGGAGTACAGGTCCTGTTGGTCAGGCTCCTTTCCCACGGGCAGCAGCGGAGGCGTGTCAAGCAGGATATGACGCTCCTGGGTGATGAAAAACTGCAACGTTTCTGTGCGAGGACGTAAAATACTCTTCTGGCCATTATTTGGCTTGACCTTGTGCCGCGTGGCAAAGATGCACTCGTCCGCCTCCGCAGAGAACAGGTGCTGGTAGTAGTCGTAGTCCAGAGACCGCTCGGCAGCTAGGAGATTGAGCAGCGTGCTTTTCCCTGAATATTGACCACCAAGAACGCCGATGACAGTAAAGTCTGTATTTGTCTTGTGAAACAACTTGCGGGCATTGGCATTGAAGATGCCGTTGGCCACAATGAGTGGTGTAGGGCGATTCATGCGCGGTGGCTGCAGCTGCTCCTGAAGGACAATTGGAGCGCCGCTCGCGCTGCCAGCGGTTCCTGCCCCACCACCGCAGTGGCCTTTGCCCCGACCATTCGGCACCGAGCTGACCAGGGCAGCACAAACAGAGCTGGATGCCACGGCAGGCAGATGACCACTGCCCTGGGCGGAAGTATCTCTGCACACAGAAATTTGGCACTTATCCGCCGGACGTAAATCAGTTGTGCGGTTGATGATGATCGTCTTGATGGCCACCGGTGTCTCGGGGTTGCTGTTGCGGCTGTTGGGACTGGGGTCCACCTCCTTCTCCCTCTCCAGATACCGATCCCTCTCTCGCTCCCGCTCCCCTTCCCACTCCTTGTCCCTGTCGCGATCCTTCTTGAGCAAAATCTTAGGCTGCACCATGCGGGCATCCTCACGCCGCGCAATTGTCACTGGAGCTAGGGGGCCGGATGAGGGATCATCCCGCTTCTTGTTGCGGAACCGGCGACGGGGCTCGGCCATTCCTACTTATCCAGTAATTTGTGGCTTTCGTATTTGAACTTACACGTTTGGGGGTCAACAACAAGACTTACGCGTTTTTCAACACTTCCAAGCACGTAAACAGCTGTGCTATTGCCATGGAAATGTAGCTAATGATATAGCTAAAATAAAGCTATTATTTTAAAAAAAAGTTGGTGGAGAAATGACGGCAAATATATATACTAATTAAGATTGATTAAACTAATAATTATTGTTTCGGTTTTCTCTACTTTAAGGCGTAAATTTATAGAAGTGCAGTATAAGTGATTTTACTAGCTATAGCTATATATAGCTAGAAACAAACTTATCTGCCACCACGCGGACACACTTGGTCATTAGCAAGCACTGCTGCAGTGCAGCGTGGAGTTGTTTTGTTTATATATAGTTATTGGCTAAAAAAAACATGCCGATAGTTGTAATTACGGGACTACCGGCCAGCGGAAAATCCACCCGGGCGCGACAACTACGAGATCACTTCGTCGAGCGCGGCAGGAAGGTGCACCTGATCAGCGAAAACGAGGCAGTGCCAAAGGCTCTGTTCGGTAAGAACGCACATGCCGGGGACTCCCAAAAGGAGAAGGTGGTGCGCAGCGATTTGAAGTCGGAGGCCTCGCGCCATCTCAACATGGAGGATCTGGTCATCCTGGACGCCGGCAACTACATCAAAGGCAAGTTTTGCTAATCTCCAGATGCTGAACAGTTGATAATCCCACTGGTTGTAATTCCTGGCAGGCTATCGCTACGAACTATACTGCATGACCAAGGCGTCGAGGACCACCCAGTGCACCCTGTTTTGCTGCATTCCGCAGGATCAGGCGTGGACCTTCAACTGCCATCGAACAGCAACGGACGAGCTGCCCGGCGACAGTGAAACGGAGCAGCCGGCGGATAACTCAGAGGTTCCATACACCCGCGAAACATTCGACGCCCTGTGCCGGCGCTACGAGGAGCCGCAAAGTAACAACCGCTGGGACAGTCCGCTTTTGGTGACCCTGCCCGAGGACACGCTCGACATGGATGCCATCTACAAGGCCCTTTACGAGACGCAGCCCCTTCCGCCGAATCAAAGCACCCAGAATCCACCGCTTGGCGCTACCAACTACCTATTCGAACTGGACAACATCATGCAGTCGATCATCAAGGAGATCCTAGGCGCCGTCAAGATCAAAGCCTTTGGCCAGCTTCGCATCCCGGGGAGCAGCAGTCCCGTGAAGGTCGCCACCTCGATGAACGCGCTCCAGTTGAACCGCTTGCGCCAGAAGTTCATCACTAGCACTTGCCGGGCCAGCCAGACAGCGCCCACACCGCTGGAGCAGGTGCCCCAACTGTTCGTTCAGTTCATTAACGCCAACACGATCGGTTGCTAGCACTGTGATTGTGGCTCGACGGTTGTTGGAGGACATCCTCATAATTTATTCTAAGTGAGAAAAGAAAAATATGAGAAACGCTAAATAAACGTATGAAGTATTTATGTAGAATATTCATTTTATTTAAAAAACAAGAAAGCTTTGGCCAATTTTGGATTTTTGGTAAGGGGTAAATTGTAACAAATTTAGGTGTGAATGCCATCAGATTTGAAGATTTGGGTGAATACTCCCTTAGAATATTGAATTATTGTTTCCCCCAATTTGAAAAGGAAGAAAAATTAAAAATCGCGATTCCTTTGATAAATATATTTTTAATGGTAGTCCAAGGGTAAGATAAAAGTTGTGATTTCATAATTTTTTTTTTAATTTAAATTTTAAAGTCGCTTTAATTCCTTTGATAAATATATTTTTAATGGTAGTCTATGGGTCAGATAAAAGTTGTAATTTCTTACTTTTTTAAATTTAAATTTTAAAGTAACGGTCGCTTTAATATTCCGAAGAGAAGAGAGTTAAGGCAGAGAAAAGAAAAACAACACCAAAAAGAGAGTTGGAAATGTTAACGAACTTTTCTCTTATTGTTTTTGTTTTCCGCATGGTTCCGCGTTGTGTCGCTGCGTTTGTATGTAAACGCGGCTATGGTGCTCTTAAGTCCGCTCTTTCAGAAAGCGGCGGGTGGTTCGTTATCCACCTTCGTATTTTAAATTGTTGGCTTAAATAAAAAAGAAATTGTTTGGTTGACTTTCAGGTGATTTAGTGTGAAAGGGCTTGGGCGTTCTTTTGGCCCTGCAGCTCCCTTAAGGACTCCTCTCTTAGGGACTCTCTTAGCGGCAGTTTCTTGGCTCTCTTCACCCTTTTGCCGCTCTCTTTGCGCTGCCGCCGCGTTGTAGCTGACAGATACAAGATAGTCGCGCAACGAGTTAGTCGCGCGCCCGGAACGCTTCGCAAATCAAACGTTACTCCGTAGTGAGTTTCACAAACAAAACAAGAAACTATTTTTTTTTACATTTTTTTTGTTGCTACGACTGCTTTTTTTACCACCAAAGATTGGATAATTAAATAAAAAATAAAGTCGAAGGCAGTCTCGCCCCACTGTTTCTATCCCGCTCTAGCAGCAAAGTGCATTTTCAACGAGTGTGTGTGTGTGCGACAATTTGACAAGTGCAACAATAAGCATACAACAAATTTTAATATTAAAAAAAATTAACAAAGATCGCCAAATACATACGCATACCTCTAAAGATCTTTAAAATTGGCTTTGTTTTTATTTTATGTGTGTGCGTGAGTGTGTGCGGAACAAAAATGTAAAATGCATAATGCAACTTTGCCACCGAGGTTTTTTTTAATTCTATTTTTTATGTGTGTGCTCTGTTGCAGCTGACGTTTTCCCCACCCAAAAAAAAAGAAAATGAAAATGTAACTAAAAAGCCCAGGAAAAATCAACAGCTGCTAAATCTGGAATCAACAACCTCCAAACAAAACAAATGAAAATACATTATTGTGAACATCAACAACAGTGGTAATCGAGGGCTTTTAACGCCCAAAAATACAAATACAAAGAGGAAGCAGAGCCTGTGTCTTGCTGTGAGTGTTTAACAACAAAAAGCTGTTAAAAGTGAATAAGGCCACCAGCAAATTAACTTCAAACGGTAACCGGAGAATCGCTTGCTGGCAGAGCATGGATATCGCCCCAGTTCCATCGCGACCATCGATATCCGTATCGTCTTTGGCTCCAGGATCACCGGTATTTGCTATAGCTGGCCATTAAAGAAGCGCCAGCCGAATGCCACAAAGATGCCACCGCTGCAACGGGACCAATTGAAGTGAGTACTATATACCCCTCGCATTACTTTACTTACAAGATCCCTTATATGAACTCGAGGATAAAGACTGAAGTAACCCCCACTTGCCTAAAGTTGAAAATAAGATCCAATCAATATCCCTGCTCGACAGCCAATTTTTTTTATTACTCAAAATTTCTTAATATTTTTAAAACCACATCTTGTCCCTATAGAACTATGGATAGATCCAAGGGTTTTCTGATACCTAGCTAGCTTAGTGGATATTAAACAACTAATGCTCCTTATGCAAGGGCTATGCAACTGCCAGGACCCATTTATATTGAATGCCCACACCAAGGAATTACTTCACCAAATCGCTCAATACTTTAATCACTGACCAATAATCCGAGTGATGGCATTATAATTGAAGTTGGGTCATTGTGCGTGTCTCGGGGGAAGTGAAGGGGGCGGGGGGTTGCCTTGTAGACGGGGTTTTACGTTCAGGAGTTGAGGAGTTTAAGAGGGCGCTTAGTCACCGCGCCTTAAAGTTCACGGAGGGGTGGTGGGGTGGGGGCAGAGGCAGAGGCAGTGGGAGAGGACGGGGACGAGGCAGGAGCACATGTCAGAGCCCGGTTCGTTGGCCTGGCCGAGATAACTCGACGAAAAAAAAAGTTCGAGTTCGAGTTCGCCGCTCTCTGTTTATGAATGAAACGCAACGAGGAAGCGCGCGCAAATTCAACAACAAATTCAGTCGAAGAGAGGGCCAAAGAGAGTGGTGAGAAACTTTCAGAGAAATGCGGAACAGAAAAAATTTCAAAAATTGTTCTCCCGCTCTCTCGCACTGGCGCAAGTTCATCGACCTTTGCTATTGAAATTTTTGGGAACGCACACACAGATATGAATTACGAATACGAAACGCTGCTTATTTACACATTGATAAACAATCGTTGATGCTAAAATGCCGATGACTACGATTTTAAGGCCATTAAAAATGTAGTTATATCATCGACTTTACAGATGCTCTTGCTTTGTTGGCCACACACTTAAGTGGTTCTCAGAACATTCCCTAATTTTACTTGAAAGGTTCAATATGCGAATCCTGAAACCCTTTTTTTTAATCAGCATGAAAGTCTGCGTATTTTATATTTAAGGAAAAAATGCAAACGTTTAACTTAACTCTGCTCAACTACCATTGCCAATATCTGTTATCTACTTCTCTGATATACATATGTAGATATTTTGATTTATGTCTACATATCTGTATCTTGCATATCAAATAATCTGCAGATCGAGGAATCTCATTTACTTGTGTATTGTTTAAGTAAGTGTTTTCCTATTCCTGCCAAATAAAGCGGAACCATGGGATTCGAGTTCGAATCGAAAAAGGGAGCCCAAAGTGCGGCGTAGTCCCCACCGCAACTTTATTGGCTGGTTTCTTCTTCCTGATTGCCGATGAGTGTGTGTGTGTGTGTGCGGTGTGTGCATGTGTGTGTTTGTGAGTAGAGGGTGGGTTGGCAAACGCACGATAACAACGCCTGGAACTTGGGGACTCTCCGCAGGGAGCGGGAATCAGGGAAACGGGGAGGAGGGAGGTGGGATCCACGGGGGGAAGTGGGGTGCTTAAGGTCTGGGCAATGGCATTGTTTTGTTTCTGCTCCCTGCTTCTTCGCATTACGACTGCCGCTTGTTACCAAGTCCCAAATGGCTCTATATCGGTACATACATACATACATATGTATATGTGAGGGGCCACCAGGGGTGTAGTTGGGAGTTCATCGAGGGGATCACAGATCCCAAGGAAATTCCAATTGAACTCGACGGTTGGGGATAATCTGATTAATTGCCAAGTATACTGAGTGATGGATGGGTAGGTAGCATTTACATTATTCGATATTAATTCACTCCCCCCACATATTCGGCAGTACGGCAGTACGCCACTGGGTGCTGGCGTACTGGTGCTAGTGCGCTCCGTGTCCGTGTCCGTGTCCGTGTGTTGGTGTTGGTGTTGGTGCGAGGCCAATGACCAAAAATGTAGTGACAAGGGCGTCAGAGAGATTCCAAAAGTTGTGTATATTTCGCCATTTGAGCAAAGAAACAAGGAAGAGCCCGCAAAAAGGGGCAACGCTTTGCTCTGGCTTGTGTCTGTCTCCGTTTTCCGTTTTTCACGTTTTTCCTCTGGTAGGTATTTCTGGGGCGAGGCGGTCCAACTTACCCTGTCCAGAGCACAAAACGCTGAAACCTTCAAATTCGGTTTCAATGTCATGTAACCCCCGTTTTACATGGCTCAAGCGTGCGAGAGGGAGATGCAAATAGAGGGTGCGAAGATTGGGAGGCAAGGGTTTGAACAAACACTCACACACACGCTCACGTACGTAGAACGAGCGGCCAATTAAGGGAATAAGCAGGAAAATGCCCATGCACAGGAAAACTCACACAGAAATTCAAAAATCAAATGGCTTTCCCTCCACTCAGAAACTTGAAATCCTGCCAGCTGTCATATTTCCAAAAAACAATCTTTATTCCAATATTTTCAAAAGGCCATAAAACGGGAACGTGTCCTGGTGAAGTGTTTCGAACAGTTTTCGAAACGTTGCCTCTTGGGAAGTCGAATCAACACTATAAATCTAAGAGCTTTTCCCCACATTCCAACTCACAAAAACACTCAGTTACTAAATATAAACACTTTCTTACTATTCTTCTGTGGAACTCCATTGCGGTTATCGCCTTTGTTTCATTTCCTTTTTTCGATTTGTTTGGTCTCGTTTTGCCTTGCCTCGTATTTTAATAAATGCCAATGAACTTGAAGTTTATTTAGCGCGTATACAGTAACTCCCTTCGGATAAGGTGGGTAATGCACCTGAGACTCCGTACGTAAACATGCTTATCAGTTCCGATCCGTTTCGATCCGCCTCCAAGCCGCATGCATGCCCCCTGGCTCACAGTTGCTTGATCCCGATCGAGTCTAGGGTTGAGCTGAAAGGAACAAGTAGGAATTTTCCTTATCTCTAGTTTGCCGTCCGTTGCCGTTCTCTTTCTTCTTGCCATTTGATAGCTGTGACAATATTATGCATACTGACGGCCAGAGGGGCAGAAGAAAGGGGCAGGAGCACAAAAGGGGGAGGAGGTGCTGCCCATGCACACATACGTAATGTATAAACCGCCTAAGGGTCGGTGCCTCGATAAAGTTCTTATTGTCTCCCTATCGCTTTCCCCCCCTTTTGGCACTCTCTCCGCCTTTCTCCTCCCTGTCACGCGCTCTCGAATCCCTTAGTCATGATTACTAATTATGCGCTTCTGGATTGATTGCTTTCTTATTCACCAGCTTCACGC